AATATCGAAGAATTTAACACCGTTGAACTATTTTTTGTGGGGTTATATGAAATTGCTTTCCTAAGCAAATAACCACGAGCCGATTAACGCCTTGGAAAAGAATACTCGGCGCATTATTGCTCACATACGGCTTTAATTGCCTCGAAAAGTGTTCCAACATTGAGCTCTCTGGACGGTCTTTTTCCCGAAAACATTTTTAAAACATAATGGCAAAACCTTCCTTATTTTTTAAATAAAGTTGAATTTTTGGCATTTTAGTTCTTCTGGAAGAAATGCAAGTAAATAAAAATAAATTTAAAGCTCCATAACACTGTTTCCATAAGAGTCAAGTAAATGGATTTTTCGCAGTATTATTCAAGGTTAAAAAATATTAAAAAGAACGAAAAGGAGCGACTTTTGTGCGGTACCAGCAACGCAGTTTATTTCACAAGCACCAAATCACTTGTAACTGTCTAACGATTATTTCAATTTCTGACAAATTGTGCCATTAAAGCGATGAACTTTATACAAATGCAAATTACTGTTAAAAAGTATGTTCACCTATGTTCTCGTATATGTGTCTATCTAAGGCTTAATTTTTTTTTTAAATATATATAAAAACTAAAAACATATTAAAAATTTGCTTATTTAAATATTATTTCAATTGTATTTCAGGGGACTATTTTGAAAGTCTGTGTGTTTGTGTGTGTGTAGTAACTTGAAACGAACTTTTTGTTCCTTTTTAAGAGTGCAACGAATGCACATACGCATACAAAAATCTTTATGAATGTAATAATAAATTTATATATTTTTTTTTTAATTTTAAAAATTATTACCGATGAGAAAGTCCGCATTTTAATTCATTGAAAATTGGTAGAAATAAAAAAAAATAATCAATAAATAATTAAACTCAGCATTCACAAAACAATCGAGAATTTTCTGGAAAATTTTTTTGGGTTACGCGGCTTTAGAAAAATCTAAGAATGAATTCGTTTGTGTTTAAAATAATCCTAGAACAAATAAATACTCGCTCGCAAGAAAAACGAATACGCTCAATATGGCGGTCATGCTTTACGCATAAAAAAAATAGAATACTAAAAAGCACAAACTAAATCATTTTCTATCAAAATAAATAAAATGCGTTTACAAACGCAAAAAAAAGGCGAGCGCGACTAAAACGACTAAATTAAGACAAAAATCGCAATTAAAGTGTTGCAGGCGCGCTAGGCCGAGCAATTGCAACGCTCGTAAATTGAATGAATGTGAATGGGCGACAGTAAAGCAGTATCCAAACCGCGGCAGCTGCCTGAGAGGGGCATATAAGAAACATTGTATGCGTGCGAAAAAAGCAAAAAAAAAACAAATATGAAAAAATGAGAACCGCAGCAGCATTGGCCAGCGGAAAATGCTGGTCCGGCAGCTGCGAGTTGACTTCAAAAGCGTGATATTGGCTGCTATTATTTATTTACTGTCTATACTTATAGCGGGATGTATGTGTATGTGTACACATATTTACGCGTATTTATATACCACTGTTTGCATGTATCGGCTACTTGAATTTGGTTTCTATTTTTATTACATTTATACATTTTTCTACTAACTTGCCAAAGACCTACAATTTATCGTATCAACAATCATTAGCCAAGTTAGCCGAGGCAAATGCGACATGCCAGAGTCACGGCTAGCGCTCGAAGGCAAAGGCGGTCGACGCTGACTGCATGGCCAGCAACAGTGGCAAGAACATTGGCAATCGCAACACCATGCTGTCTGCGGCGACAACACTTTCAGGCCTACAATGCAGGCACGCACAGACATGTACAATACATACACAAAATTTTATTTATTTTTTGCTCTTTTTAGCATTTTCTGCTGGCAATTTTTATGCATTTTCAATCAAAACACTTTCGATTTCGTTCACCGTCTTGGCAGCCACAACTGGTCGCGCCAAACCGCAGATCCGTTTCTGTACTGGCGATCGCAATGATTTCATTTTCTCATTCTCGTATTTTTGCATTTGAGTATATAAGCCTTTTTTGCTGTTTTTGTACATGCGTAACTGCATAAGAAATACTCGTTGATATCTATGTACATTGTCGCTTATTGCTTGTAATGGCCTTGAGTATGCCTAAGCAGCGACTTTGGCTAAAAGCTAAAAAGGCCCAAAGCGTTTGAATTGTGATTGCTTAGCGTTTAAGCGCACAGCGTGACATGTTCAGATCACATCTTCGCATTGTTTATGGTTATGGGCTGAACGAATGCAGCGATTATTCTGCGATAGCAATATGTAAGAGTGTGAGTGGCCAGTTGGCGGCAATTGTACGTAGACGTACATATATTTTTATTATATTTTTTGCGTTTATTCTTCTGCTGCGTACTGCGTAGTGCTGACTGTGAGCATTCTAATCTGCGTGCATTCGCATTAAATTAATAATATGTTAGTGTTGAGTCAGCGTTTTTAACAAATTCATAATATTAAAATTCATTTTCCCATAGATCCCCTGCACTCTCTACCTCTTTCCACTCTGCATGCTATGCTATGCGCAGCTTGAGTTAAGGCAGTCTATCAAATCAGCTTAAGGCAATCGGTTGCAGTTAATCTTTTTTATTTGAGAATTATGTGTAATATAAGCAGTTTGAACACACCTTGATCTTTGATTGCATTTTGATCATCATTTCATAGTGCATAAATCTCATTGCGATTTCTTTTATTGCCAACGCAGATGTTACTCATACGACATGGGGGCTTAGCTCGATATTCAGTGCAAATTAATTATACTTTATGGAATAAAAATGCAGATTCTTGAATTTTTTTGGGGAAGCTTTCAGAAATTTTATTTTTTTTTTAAATATCAAAAAGAAGGGAATATGAGGACGAAATATGTGAAAACTTGAATACAGGAATATTATTAAAGTTGCTTAACTGAAGAAGTTAATTGATTGAAATTTGCCTTTGCAACGGAATGTGAAATTGAATTTCATTTCCAAAAACAAATTATTCATATTTGAAGTCTCCGAAGTATGCAGATCTGAGCAGGATTTATGTGAATCATATCCATTAATTTTTCCTACTCAAACCTCATTTATTTCAGTGCATTTGGGCGTACATTACACATGGCGCGTAGTATGGCCCTTTATAAATATTTTAAATCATACGAAGCTAGCGAAATTTCATGAGAACAACGATTTGAGTTTGACAATGTCGCATGTTGTAATGTTATTCCGCCTATGCCTACATCAGAGTGGTGGCGTTCGGCCGATGCATTCAGAAAAAAAAATCAGTTTTGATTTTGAAAGTTGCAAAATCGACCCAAAACATACCTCAAAGCTGACCAAGCTTAAATAACATATTTAGTGTCGGACTCATACAAATGCCCTTAGAAAATCTCCATTACCACTGATTGAAAATTTTTCCTTTTTAGTGAAAGTAGCTTCAATATTTGTGCAGCTTCTTCTTTAAAAGTGTGGTTTAAAATTTTTTTATTTGCTTACGATAAATCAGTATTTGCGGCTCTTAAAATTCAATGACTTTTGAAAAGATGTTTGCTGATTAAATGTTGTTGAAATCGAAAGTCATCACTTGCAAAAGAATTAAAAGAGAAAAAGAAAACAAATCAATGAACATATATGATTATCGATGATTTGCACAAAATTTTTACATGCTTATGATTACATTTAAGATTAACTTCAATGCTAAAAGTGAGCGGGATGATCAAGTGACTTTAAGTGATTTGCTCAGGTTAAAGGCCTCAGAGCAAATAAATTTTATTTTTATTGCATTTTGACTAAAATATGATATACATATATACATATATTACATTTTATTGAAGATGCTGCATAATTCTGATGCGATGAAGGAGTTCAAAGGCTTCAAATATTAAAGCAGATTAAAAAAATTCAGAAAATAAGAATGGATAAAATATTTAGACTCAGCATTTGCCACTTCATCAAAATGTAGAATTTAAATTCTTAACACTCTTATACACATATTTTTTACTCCGCTGGAATTTTATTAAATATGTTTATCATGAAAAACTTGACGTAATACAAATAAATCCATTATTTCTTGCATAAAATTGAAGGTTTTAATTTTTACTTTTCATACGCAGCATTAATAAAATGGTTCCAAGCTGTTTTTTGCAACCTTTAGCTCTTGGACAATCGAAGCAGTGCTCACATGACGGTGGGACTCGACAATGTCCATGATTTCACCGACATTTTCGACAACTGTGCTTCCACTCGGGAAGGATACTTCTTCATCAAAATTAAAGGAATGAAACCGTGCATGATTTACAGTAACAGTAGCAGGACCATAAACGCTATTCACATTTTCATCTTCCTGCATATGTGATGCACGCTCAATCAAAACTGAATCAACCAATCACAAAACTGTCAGAAAAGCTCTTTTAGTACGAAATGTCATCTTAGTAACTCCATCCAGCGAAATCTATATATCGGGGCCATCGATTGTAAAAACAATGGATTTCTTTTTACTACCCCTATGTACAAACTATATATATAAAAGTTATATATAAAAGTTATAGAGAACTAATTTAACTAAAGAAATTAAAATAATTTTTGAATATTTATATATGAATATATATAATTGGCGCATAGTAACCGCTGAAGCGATTCTCGTCCGAGAAATACACTCAGAAATGCTGGCAATCCCTACCGAAGGGCTACCGTAATTAATAAATTATTTTATATTTTAGTTTAATTAATTTTCTATAACTTTTGGATGTTAGTCGTACCAGGACTTAAACCCAGGCCTTCCGAATGGCAATATGCAATGCTAACCTGGGCTACTATGGCCTCATTATAACGTTCGAATCCCGTTAAGGAAACATGCATTTTTAGTTTGAGGAGGTTTATTATAAAAAAAAATATGCTTCATTCATATAATCGCGGGAGACTTGAATATTTCATGAAAGATTTTTCAATATTTCTTTATTTTTTTATTTTTGAATTAAAAAAAAAAATATTTAAATGATATGTAAAATTTTCCTCTTCTTCCTTTGTAGGGTCTGGGTCACATCAGCGGTTGTCACGTTAATCCAGCTGTCACCATTGGTTTCCTTATTGTCGGTGAAATGAGCATTCTAAAGAGTTTACTTTACATCATTGCTCAACTTGTTGGTGGTATTGCCGGTGCAGCGGTTATTAAGGCAAGTATATGCAATGAAAAAAATCCAACGGTTTAAAGAGAATCAAAATTTAATTAAACAAATACTAAAAAATAATTTTACAGGGCGCCGTAACCGATGAAGTTGCCGGTGCCAATTTGGGTGTCTCTATGTATGCTACCACCCTCGATTCCGGTCGTGTGGTGCTTATTGAGGCTTTGATCACCTTCATTTTGGTCTTTGTTGTTAAAGCGGTATCAGATCCTGGACGCACAGACATTAAAGGCTCAGCACCGCTGGCTGTTGGTCTCTCGATTGCCGCGGGACATTTATGTGCTGTGAGTTGTTATGAATAGAATCATGTGAAAAATCAGAGAAAAAAAGCTTCACAAATATCAAAATACATAATATTTGCTTTTCCTTACCCACTTTTTAAAAGGTCAAATTGACTGGCGCCAGCATGAATCCAGCGCGTTCCTTTGGGCCGGCTGTGGTACAGAATGTGTGGACCGATCATTGGGCTTACTGGGTTGGCCCCATTGTTGGAGGCATTGTTGCTGCAATCATCTACCGATTTGTCTTTAAGGTGCGCAAGGGCGACGATGAAGATCACTCTTACGATTTTTGAAGAGTGAAAACTCTCACAACACAAAAATTACATAAAATGAGTTGAGCGGCAAAAATGCAAAGATCGCTTGTGCACTCGCTTACAACAACTGCACACGCGCACATACATGAAATACACACGCATATTAAATGCATGTGCTTGCGTAGGCATATGTATGTATGTACATATGTTTGTTTTTGATTTTTGTTTATGAGAACTTATTTACGTATGTATCGTATGTTCAATATTTATGTGCTGAATATATGCCTGGCGCATTGAAAAGAAAGAAAAAAAAACGAAATGCGATTGTTGTGTATGCGCGCCGCCGCCTACACTTGTATTAAATATGTTTGTATGTCGGTATTGAATAATTTTAATTTTAATTAGCGAAATAAGCACCGTTTACATATGTATCTGTTTGCATATATATTTATGTACTTATAAATATATATATACTTGCAATTCACATGCCAAATGTCATTCATCGTCAACTCTGCCGTTGAACGCTTTACACTCATCACTCATACATCACTCAAAAAAATATTTCTACGCATACATACATACTTACACGTATAATCAACAATTCATTTAACTGCTGTAATTCATTCATTCCCGCCGCCCAAAGATGCCTTAGCAATGCAAGTATTTTAAGAAAATCACGATAAAACATTGATGAAAATAAAAATTAAATTTAATGTATATTTTTGAAAAAAAAAAGTTTAAATTTTTGTCAATATTACAACAAATATTTGTATTTACGGCTTTTGTCAACTGTCAAATTTTGTATATTCAGCAGAAAGAATGGCGTTACTCGCCAACGCACATCAGCTAAGTTGCCTGTGGTAATTAAGAATTGCTTCCAAATGTTTTTGTAATTTTATATGTGAACGTTTGAAAATATTTTTTTTTTTTTTTTGAAAAAATCGTAAACTTTTACGCATATACATATACGTATGTATGTATATATATGTGAGCTGCATATCACCTTTATTAAATTTTCGATATACATATGTGTACATATGTACCTCTGTTTACTTACATATATATTTACAATTTGTATTTGTAATTTTAGCTAAAAGAGGAGGATTAGCAAGCCCAGCAACGCAATGAATAAAGCAAATGCACCAAAAGAAAATGTAAAATTTCCAATATAATGCAAGTATTTGTCATAAATATGTATAGCGTTGAGCCCGTATGTATGAATATTATAAGTTTCATGTGCGCCTTGTGCGCCATTTCAAATATTATTAATATCATTAATAAAGAAATAAAATGAAAATAAAATACGCGTTGAATTCAATTGGTTAATAATTCAAAATTATTAAGTAAGTATTGCCTTCCAATTTTACCTATTATCTTTCTTAATTTTTCCATTACTGAAATGCAATTTTTTTGTTTGCTTCCCCGATGAGGATATATTGTAGTTCCAGTAAAAAGTAATCCAACATTTAAAATATCTTTTTACCATTTTGACGGTAATGTCTCTCGCATAGAATGTCTCTTTTCTATTGAGGCTAATTCTTCACCAGCCAAATAATTTGCCGTAAGCACTCGGTAGGAGATCCGGACTATTATAACCTTCCGGACATAGGAACCTTCCAACCAAGGCCTCGGTGCTTCTTGGGTAGTCACTTGCGATGAAAATGAGAAATCGCGAATTGCGCAAATTGCAAATTGTTGAAATCAGTAAACTCGCATTCTACCAGGCCAACCGCAAAGCAGAGCAACAAGCAGAAGCTATGACGACGTTGCAAGAGTATTGGCTCTTGGGCGGATAGTCATTTATGTATAGCGTACAGTTAGGCGTAGGGAGTAACGACTCGGCCATAGTGGCAAAATGCCGGTTCGTGTCTTTGCTTAACTTGGATTTTCATACACCCTGTAATAGAATCATTTTACCAACTAGTTCAGAATGACGTTATTCACAGAGAACGTAAGTCAGAGAACGTAAATACAACAATAAGTATGCGATTTATTTAATACAACCAAAGAATGTATATTAATCACTTATTATTATTATTATACGTTCTTTGATTATGACTGTTCATTGGATGCCGCCTATTTATTTGAAGCATGGACCCAGGCGCTGACTAATTTACAACTGGTTCACCGGTTCTCGCCCTTACTAAAGCATATTTTCCATAAGCGGATATTGTCGATTTTGTTCAGTTTCCTGCCGTTCAGGTGACATAACATTGTAGTAGGACTATTAAAAAAATAATTGTAGATAAATTTTAAATAAGTAAAAAATTAATAAATAGAAAAAAAAAACGGGCAACGGGTTTCGAAATCCAGCCAACCATTTCCTTCAAACTATTACTTGCTATTACTTTTTTAGTCATTTTGATCACCTGATTCACACAGATTCTCATTAAAATTTAATAATTTCTGAAAAAACCCTAAAGAATGACAAAAACTTAATTATTTATAAATAAGTTTTATACAAAAAAACAGTTTTTTATTAAAAAAATGTTCACCCTTCGAGTTGGACTTGGACACGAGTCATACGAAAAACTCCACCTTCAACAGCTAATTAATGTGAGTTATGCCTGCGCTTATACCAACTCCACCACAAGAAAGCGAGTTGTTCATGATCACATCCAAAAGACGATAGAATCCAGTAATTAAAGATGTAAGATTCAATGCTAAACTTAGTCATAAAATAAATTTATTTAATAGCAGAAAAATGCTTACTTTTGCTTTAAAGCAAATAATTTTTGTTTTTTCTTTCTCATATGTGCAAATATTCACTCAAGCCAATGGCAACGCAACGATTGTGTATATGTTTGCAGCGAGCATCAGCAAGTAGAACAAATTAGTCAGTATGAAAACATCTCTACTTGTGACTTATTATAAGAAACAATAAATAAAGTTTATCTCCATCATTTGTGATCTTTACGACCACAACGAATGCGAAATGTGAATGAAAAAATATTTCCCAGAATTTTACTCACCTAGTTCTGTATGAAATAAATTTTGAAATATTTCGATTAATGACAGCCGAATACAACATTTCTTATCAACAATGTAAAAATTATTAAGAAATAAACAATATATATATATATATATATTTATATGGAGCCCTAGCCGTCAACAGAGCGTAAGCGGTTAGTCCTCGATATGTACATATGTGCATACATAGGAAGTAAATTGCAAGCTGCGCCACGCTGATAACGGCCTTTATGCCACATACATAAATATGTGCATACATACATACGTCAATATTTAAACATGTCTGTATATTTGGTTCGATTCAATTTCTATTTATTTGCTGCTACAAGCGAACGAATGCGCGACCACTAACTAAGGTCATTTGATTATCACTTTTTTCCTCAACAGCATTTCACTCAGTTCCTTCAGTTGGGGGAACCCTATTTGAATGTGCATTTGTTTGTGTGAATATCTAGAGTTAATCGAGTTGCTGTCGCATCCGTACGGATCCTGCACAAAATTACATCAATTCCAAAATCAACAAGCATCAACCCTTTTCAGCCTTGCAAACCTAAGACAACAAAAGCCATATAATGCTTACAACTACAAGGAGTACTTCCATTTAAGAATTGGATTGCACCACTCACACACACACAAGCATACATATATGTACATTGCGAATAATCAAATGTTTGCGCTTCTTTAGCCCAGGCATGCGTAATCACCACAAGTAAACTTAGATCGAGTCCATTTTAACCAAAAAGGTCAATGATGAACAAAAGAATGCTTGAAATATTTTTAAACACAAAAAGCAAACGAAGACAGCGAACATACATATATACATTTATTTGTAAATAAACGCACAAGTGCACTCATCTATTACCAAAGTATGGATCTGGTGTTGTAATTTTTAACCGAATACCAAGTTCAAATAATTTTGCACTTAAAAAGAGAAAAACTACAAAATGAACAGAGTTGCAACAAGTGCAACTATGTTTGTTGTACTTAGATATAAGTAAATAAATTTGTATAATTTTTTTCACCTACCTAAACATACTATGTACATACACGATTAATCCCACGGAAAGCGAGACAACTTAATGCGCATATACATATGGATTAGAGCTGGCAACTCGGTTGTTTCTTAAGTGGTGAAATGTCTGTTTTGTTTCAATTTTCTTTGTGGAAATTTCTTTAGTATTTCAATGAGTTTTACTCTTTACACAAATAATTATAGAAGGTGAAGTTATCATATCAAATGATTGACTGTTCTTCCTTCCATTTCAACAAATTACAAAAACAAAATACTTTCAAAGATTTTCGTTTCTGCATTCCTAATACTACCTTGTGCGAATTTGCCTTGAATTAAACTTAAAATTCGGAAGGCTCAGGTTCAAATCCTGGTGTCGTACTACTAACATCCAAAAACTTATAGAAAATTAATTTAAATAAAAATTAAGTTAAATTTTCTAATTGCGGTCGCCTCTAGGCATCGAATGTCCACCCGTCCGAATGTATTTCTGACACGACATAAAAGCTCCTCAAAAACCGTCAGCCGTTCGAAGATCCCTCTATTTGTAGGAAAAACATCAAGACGCAAATCCACAAATTGGAGGAGTAGCTGGGCCGAAAAAACGCTTCAGCGGTTACCAAGCGCTGTTCCGTAAGTTAAATTCGTCTAGGAAAGCACAAACTTATACTGACATGGAAGGATCTCGGTAGGCTCCAAGCGAATCGAAAGGACATCACAAATGAATTTGATGATCTAAATTGGATTAAAACAGATTTAAAAAAATATTATCTGTCTATTAGTTTATCAATAATATCGTTTTCCGTGGAACTGACCTTGTATGTACATAAGTGTTTGTATACCATTGAATAAATAATGGCTTAACAATAACTAAGCTTACTCGGGTAAACAGACATTCTGAGCCAAATGTATTACTCACCGATTTTGCACTTCACCCCGATCATCGAACAGAACCTATACGTTTCGAGGTGAAGAGCAAAATGTGGTTAGAGCGCAGAGCAGCTGATGCTGTTGACGCTTTCCAACCCCAAAGCTCAACCAAACCCTCGAAGAGTTGCGTTTCAAAATACGAAATAATAAATTGGTATATACAGACATACACCACCATGCGTACATATGCGGTAGGTAGCTCGGAATTTATGAACATACACATAAACATATGGATTGGAGTCAAAAAAAAAAACGCCGCTGATATGCCAAGGTGCTTCGTTTTAGCCCAACCACGAGTTATCAGCTCGATGATGAAGGAATTCGCACTAAAATGCTGGCGGTTAGTCAACGATGCATTAATAAAATAGAAATAAATAAATTAATGAATGAATAAGCGGGCGTGTGTGTGTGTGTGTGTGTGTATACGGCTTGCTGGCTGGCTGGCTGGCTGGCTGACTGAAAACGATCATATTTCGTCGTTGTTCACATGTAAACGATAACTCTGCCGTCAGACAACGACGCGATGGGGCGCGCTTAGACCATATTTCGAGTTGAATACAATTTGGCGACAACTGGCGTGCGAGCCAGTAGGGAAGAAGTTCTGTTGGCGAGAAGACGCTACACGAAAACGAACGGCAGTGCAACAAGCAACTACTGAGCTTTAAAAGGTTTTCATCAAAGGACAATCAAAGTGAAATGGTAAGCGTGTGCAAAAGAAATCCTTTCATTAAAAACTTTGTCAAATTAATTAAAAAAATCGAAACTCCTTTCGCTAGGCAAAAGTGTGGCTCTTCTTATGCGGAGTGTTGCTTCTGAGCTTGGCTGTGGCGCAAGATTTCGAGCCGGAGCCATTGGAGCCGGAGTACATATTTACAACAACTATTGCACCCCTCACAGAAGAGCCAGTAACTACAACAGCAACAACAACAACACCAGACGAAAGCCCCACTATAACCACCATCTCTGCTGCTGATACTACCGCGCCCAATAATCCACCAACTACCACCACTGCCATCATTGGGGAAACAACATTTATAGCAACAACTACTGCGCCCGCTTTTACAACAATAACAATGGTAGAGGCAACAACAGCGATACCTTTTATACCAACAACTGTTGAGGATGAACTCACAACAACAACAACAACAATAGCAAGTCCTAGCACTCCAACACCAACAACAACACCGACACCAACTGAAGAAATACCAACCACCACAACAACAACGACTGCAACGGCCAGTCCCACCACGTCCACCACAACAACCACTGAAGTGCCAACAACAATGGCAGCAATCGAATTGGAGGCTACAACAAGAATAACAACGACAACGACAACGACAACAACTGAATTACCAATACCATCTACCATAACAACAACGAGTACACCCATTACCTTACCTTCAACAGCTGCTACAACAACAACAACCAACAGACCCTTTACATTTGTACCAACAGCAGCAACAACAACAACAACAACTAGCAGACCCTTTACATTTGTACCAACAACAACAACTAGAAGACCATTTACCTTTGCGCCAACAACATCAACAACCAGCAGACCCATTACATTTGTACCAACAACAACAACTAGCAGACCATTTAGCTTTGCGCCAACAACTACAACAACAACCAACAGACCCTTCACATTTACTCAGCCTACAACAACTAGAAGACCATTTATCTTTACACCACCAACAACAACAACGACAACAACAACAACTAGTAGACCCTTCACCTTTATACCAATAACAACAACCAGTCGACCATTCACCTTTATTCAACCAACAACCAGCACCAGTGCTTTAGCGCCAAGCACTACTTCAACCCCAAGACATCCCGGTTATCCTCTATATCGTCCAGTGAAACCGTGGATTCCATATGCTGCAACTAATCCGCCTCAAAAATCCTTCTACCCCCTGAATCGCTGCTATTACAGATTAAACAGTGGATCACCGCATTGGAGATGGAAGTGTGGCTGTGAGTATTTAATAATATGCTTTTTTAAATATGAATGTGTGTGTTTGATTAATCATGCAAGAGCAGACCATATGGTACATTCAATCACTACACGACTCTAGAATGCCGAATATGGTTTGTTGCTTAGTTGCTAAATAAGAATTTCAGAAAACTTTCTCAGTGTGTAAAGCTAATTAGTTTCGGTCACTCTGAGGTGCGGACAAGCAGATTGCGGCGAAATACATTCTTCGCAAAACATCTTGCTCAAGTTAAATCAAAATCAATCACAAATTGCCGCTTTATAATCAGTAAAGCGATTTGCGACAGAGCTCCTCCTTCAGTTTACGATTTCTAAAAGATATTTCTAGCCCTCTTCGTATGGCTGATCGATTTCTATTCAAAGCTTTCCATCTTATGTCTGAAATACACACGGAGAGATATGACCGCAATCAGAAAAATTTATTTAAATTTGATTTTCTTAGCCGAGATTCGATGCACACAGTGCCAACAGCTCTATTCTAAATTAACTTTTGAAAAAAGAAAAAATTTGAGGTTTCGCAATAATGTACAAGGAACTAAACCTGGAGATTCATTTATTGAGCTTCTTTTTTTCGGATCGTGTTATTTTGGTCCACTATATTCGGCGACCGCAATAGTCGGGTGCTTAGCATTGCGTACTGCCATTCAGATGCCTAGAGTTCGAGTCCTGGTTCGACAAGCTTCAGAAATTGTACAAAATAAGTTTTTCTACAATATTTGTACGTAACTTCTGACTAAACTAGACAAAATTGATTACTTCTCCTTGGCGAAAATTGAACCACCCTTATTCCATATGGTTGAGGAATGGCTTTTAATAGCATGAAAAAATGCTAATCGTTTAATTTATTTACGGCTATCAATATAATCAAATGCTTGGTATAAAATCATCACGCATTTAGGTGCATATTTAACGCTATTACAATTGATGCGGTGGCCGATTTTCGAGAAATTCTTTTCAGTTATTAAGCCAGTTTACAGTTTATATTGTATATGAACATATGTATGTATGCACTCGTATTACTTTCAATACATTCATTTAAACATTAATCAGCCGATTGTTAACCTTCTAAATACAAAAGTTAATAAGACTGAAATGAGTTTATTATTACTGTATATACTATATGTATGTATGTATATGTATTAATACATATGTATGTATGAATTCCCCTGTTCTCCCAACAGTTTGGAAGTACGTAAAGGAGGAGCACTGCTACCGTTGTTGCCAATACACCAGCGTCAACTACGCCGGCTGCAACGAGGTGAATCGCTACTACTGCAGGCAAACGGAGCAGCAGAAATACAAAAACTCGAATACATATAGCAATTATTGGTTGTACTTTTAATGGACATCGCAACTAGTATACTAATCCGCCAGTCCGATGCAATGATGACGGCGATGGTGGAGGCGGTGGTGGAGGCGGTGGTGTTGGTGTGGCAACGGATTGAGGCGAATTGCATGTAAGCACGTGCAGCTTTTGCGTATATATTTATTATTTCATATATTGTATTGTATGTTTTATGAACTTTATATGCGATGTTATGCAATTTCTTATTAATAATATTATTTAAACTTATGCACCAATTTGCCTGGCGATTTGTAAATAATTTTCAATATTTTATACATGCGAGCTGTAGCTGGAATTAAACTTTAATAAATATTGAATGTCAACGATTACACAATCATGTACATATGTGTGTGTATGTATGTATGTACATACGTGTTGTTTCAGATCGTATTTCATTACTAATGGCAATTTCACAAGTAATTAACTATATGTTACATACATATATAATATGTACAAAATATTTGTAATTCCACATGCATTAATTTAAATCGTAGAAATTGCCCAGATGCAGGAAACAGTCCTTGGCATGCTGTTGGCACTGGCAGAAGTCGGGGAAGGGCGGTGCCAACACCTCGTACATGATTCTCAGCAAGTCGATGAATTTATTCAATGCTTTCGCGTAATCGCCGGCATCGTAGAGACGCTTGGCGGTGCGTGTCATCAATTCGGTATCCTAAATAAAATGAAAAACCTTATATAAACAACAACAATGAACGGTATTCAAAAGCAATTATCGCTTAATTCACTTATCGCCTGTAAAGCTAAACAAAAACTTTATTCACGCGCACCTGCATCACTTTGAGGCCCTTCAAAATGTTTGTGCTCTCGCCACAAGTCACGCATTTAATCATGAAATCATTGCACGTCGCCGGCACCTCTATAATGGCCCTGCACTGCTTGGGGCCGTCGCAACGGAAGCGTATTATGTCAGTTGGCATTCGCTCAAAAGTGGGCCAATTCTCCAGACACGGATCACATGTACAATCGAACCAGTAAAGCTCTTTCAGTTGTGCCTGACGCTTTTCGCGACCTTCTTGTGTATAAATTGGACCGTAATTCTCAGCAATCTGCAGACCCGCTTCGATGGGACGTATCGTGTTGACGTGAATTGTAGTGCCGCGGTAGTATCTAAAAGAGAAAACAGTAAAAAGTAAATTTTGAAATATTTTACGGAGCGGATTTTAGAGGCTTCTCACCGCACCACACCCGGGTCACAAGAGTGATTGAACAGCGCCAAAGTCGGGTATAGACCACCACCAATGAATACCGTCTTCTCATTGCCATCTGCCTTTTTCGCGTGTAATTCGGCCACTTCGTGAGTGTTGAACTGTATGAACTGTAAGCTGCGTAACATAATGCCGCCAATTGTAGTGACGTCATTGGCTTTTGGAGTTGCACCAAAGTAGCCGGCTTCCACAAGACACTTCGTTAGAAAGCGTGCCATTAACGAATGCTGGAACATATTAGATGGAGGACGTGATTTTTCATGGCGTTCCAAGTGAGAGACGCGTCTATAGTCATCTGTGGGTAGCCTAATAAATTTGAACATAAAAATTCAATTAAAAATAATAATAACTATAACTAAATTAATTAATTGGAAACATGTTAGCGCTCACTTCGTTATTTCTTCGATTGGCAACTCCTTTTCAATGTCCTCTTTGAGCTTTAAAAAGTACTCCAAAGATTTATTCGCAACAATACGCAATGCCATATGACAATTCACGGAAGCCCCCGAACGCCAAATTGTAGGCAAAAGTCCACATTCGTATTTATGATAAGTGGCATTGGCTTTTGAGAGACATTCCTCAGAGCAGTACAGCACATCAGCACATTTAGCGCACGCAACCGGTATGGCGGTTCTGGAAAAAAATACTTAAAATACTTAAGTAAAAAGGGAACTTGAAGTGTCTTGAAATACCTTATAAAGCAATAGTCGCAATGTGTTTTGGCGAATTTCTCCAATAGAACCGCCACAAATGGCTTCTCCACCAATATTTCTTCACCCACCGTAATATCGGCAGCAGCGCGTGCAAAACGGCCCTCTGCAACATTCTGATCGAAACGCACAAATTCACTGAGGTACTCCTTTTCGTCGGGTATAGCCATGGTCAATGGTTTAGTTTCACCCAACTTCTTTTGTCTCTCCGCTTGTTTTAAGGTTAGAGGATCCTTTTCTAGCATTTTTATCATTGTCATGGCATCCAAGATCAGTTTGCTACGCCGTTCCGAAGGCACTTTAGCATCATCCAAAGCTGTAATGCATTTTCTGTAAGTGAAATTTTCTCTCGGTTAACAGTACAATTCGTCGCAACGTAGGGAACTCACTTGAAACACGCTATGGTTTTGGGATAGTCCTTTTTTACCATATAACAACGAGCTTGGCGCTCGTATAGCTTATAGATCAGATCCTTTGGATAACCCAAGTCGATGGCACGCTTAACATCAATCAGTGTTTCATCGTATTTCTCCATGTGAAAGAGTGTAGCGGAGCGATTAGCCAAGATGATGGCGCGTTCGCTAGCTGAGGGGAACATTAACAGTTGAATAATATAGATAATGTCAACAGCTTGTTACCTTTGTCCTCCGGCAATGCCATGTAACTTCTTGTATAAAAAAGCATCGCTTCAAACCAATCCTTCGCTTTAAAAGCTTGATTACCCTTCTCCTTGTGCTGTGCTGCCGTGTCGGCGTTTTTCCCTGCAAACACCCTCTTCACCTCCAACTGTCCATCGTTTTCGCGTACGCCAGGAAATTGCTCAACAAATACCACTCGCTCGTAGTCGTTGCGACATGCAGCTATTTTTCCAACCTGCACATCAAACACATCCGATTGTGAGTTTTTCAGGTTAAGGTAATAGTCGGGAAAGAAGCCGGTTTTCTCCACTAAGGTCATTTTGCTTTAATTGTATGTGATTTGTGTGCGCGATTGAAAATTAGTACTATAATTTCAATGCAAATATTGCGGTATGGATTAAATATTTTCACTTTTCACTTTAAAAAATCGAACTTTTCTTTCAGAAAACTGCAGCCAAACTGAAAATGTGGAAAATCTGCCCGTAACGTGCTGTATGTATTTTAAATGTATTTTTAGATTTCTTAAGAGAACTCTTTAAAGTATTAAAGAGTGGACGCTCTTATTGGGAACTCGTTTATCTCCGAGATATAAAAAAAAGATAAATATAATATTATTATTTTTGTTTACAAACAAGAATGGGCACAGAAAAGAGATCTTCAATATTATCTGTAGCGCTTGCTGCACTACAACTGTCGGAACATTTACTTCATCGGCTTCACATACATAAAAAGCAATCGGAAAGCGAAAGTTCGGTTCGCTTTACAAAGGGAAAGAGATGCTCTAGCTTTGAAATAAATGAAAGCTTTAATTCATTTAATAAAGCAACAATGAATACAAAGGAGAACTTAAATTAATATTTAAAATTAAGTTAAAAGCAGACAAAAAAAATTAAAGGTATAAGAACATCATTGGTGTAGACAACAACAATAGCCCATCCGCGGTTTCTTCTTTGCACCTTACGGAGACTCTGAATGAATCCAGCTCGTTTGCTGCTGGATCTTCCACAGCGATTGCTGCATAAAATGCCTCAAAAACTGATCCATTCATTACCTGGCCTGCATAACCACTCTCTTCTAAGCAGCTCTTTTTCAATCAGCTATCTTTAACTATACACCGTGAAATCACACCCAACGCCGCGGTTGTAGTCTTTGCTAATTATCATTCCGAAAAAGTGCTGCCAATCATTTGCGTATCTCTGAAGGGATTTTATTTTCCCTTAAAAATTTTGCTAAAATTAGGTATAAATTTTTTTTTTTTTTATAAAACCTATCATGGCAACAATTAATGCCCTACATTTAAAAAAAAAAATCTAAAACAATTCAATTTGAAGGTTCCAACGGAATATTAATCAAAAACAATAGATGTATGTACTTATGTAGCCTAAGTCACAAATTTTTGAACATCAACTGCTCATATTGTACAATAAGAACTTTTCTGTACGCCACCGACTCCAAGCGCCTCTTTAGCTCAGTGGCAGAGCACTGGTCTTGTAAACCAGGGGTCGTGAGTTCAATCCTCACAGGAGGCAAATAGTCAAACAGAAAAAAAAATGTTTTTATTTATAAAAAAAAATATAAAAGTGTGTTTTTTAAAATAAAACTGATTTTTAAATTAAAATTTATTAGTTAGATATTTAATGTTGCTTGAAAGCATATTTGTTCTGTCTAATAAAACGAAAGAATTGCTCTAACAGCAGAAAGTGTGTGCTTGACAATGTGACAATTGAATTGAAGTCATTAAATATTATTTCAAAACTATTTAAACAATTTTTTTAGAGTTTAATATAGCAGCACAACACAAAACATAACGACATATAAAAATATATCCGATGCAAATGTTGAAGTAGTAATTCATTTTTACGGCCACCCCACTCACCAAAACAGTGGTTATGTACATTTGTCACGTGGATGTTTGTAATATATCACGGATATTTTGATTTAAGTTTTTTTTCTTTTTTGAGTTCCTGCGCATGCATTTGAATATTTTTCGCAATTTGCGTGCAAACCTTTCTCTCTATCCATGAATACAATGGGGGTTACCTCGCTCTATTGGAACGAGTGCAAACAAAAACTTGAAAGGGTTGCAAAAACATTAAGATTAATTATCCACATTTTGATTTTTGCATAATAAAGAGAATATCTCGTTAATGACACCATTATTTTCAAAGCACTAGTTAAAAAAAAAAATTTTAATTTTAATAAATAATTTAGAGCTGACTTTAATGGCTTTTCATTGTAATGCTTTGTAATCGCTTTAAATATATAACCTTTTATTTTAAATAAAAAAAAGCCTAACGAACTCATTGGAAATGTGCTCGGCAGTTATATTGCCTCCTGTGAGGATTGAACTCACGACCCCTGGTTTACAAGACCAGTGCTCTGCCACTGAGCTAAAGAGGCTCTCAATTATGCCGCGGCGAATTTTTTAAGCATAACTATATTTCACTTAAAGTTAATACTAGACAAAATATGAATTTTATAAATGTTCTGTGCCGAAATTGATTACATTAAAATCATTTTCATGTTGTAAAATTATTATCAGTCAAAATGCGTTTGATAAGGAAATAGAAAAAATATTTATAAAAGGAAGAAAACTACGAAGCTTTTGTGAAAAAAACTCAAACTAATTTCTTTTTATATTTTTTGCCAAAACATTTTATTTGCTTAAACAAGTGTATGAGAGTATATAGGCGGCTTAAGAGCCTTCGGTATTAGGATCCGGTGCTAAAAAATGGGTCAACAGTACAGTCAAGTTTAATAAATCATGAATAGAGATGTCTTTAAAGATTATCCTCCTCAGCACTGTTTTTTTCACAACAACTTACTGATAATTTTTTTTATGTCAATGTTCCCTCATTAAAAATGTGTGATTATTTTGTTTTATCACAACCAGTTTTTTTTTGTGGCACACACATAACCGTTTCTGACTTTATATGTATATGTACGTTATTTTCAGTGGATAAGTTCGTTTAGGCGACTGAATAACTATTGCATTCAATTAACTCTCCCTATATAAATAATTTTTGCGTTAAATACTTCCTAAATATGTCACGAAAGTGTTCCAACAACCGATAGTTTCTGTTGTGTGTGTGCCAAACCGTTAAATCGCTCAGAGCAGACTGTAGTGAGGAATTTGTCCTAAATCAGATATCTCAAATTAGGGACCCAAATGATGAGCCTTAACCTTCTAAATAGGGAATACTTGTGTGCCCGCAAATGCTGCAATTGATAAAGGGTAAGAACTTCGAAGGGAAACTAAATGACCAGGAGAGACCTGCCATGTTTTTTGAATCCGGTCCAAAACCATTTTAGAAACCTAAAATCAGAGAATCTTAAAGAATTAGTAAACCAACTTTTAACCTCACATATAGATTTTTGCGTATGTAATACTTATGTAATTAAAAATACAATGCTGGACACTCAATTGGATTACTTCCCGGCAAATTTGGTTGCTGTGAGTGAGGAACAAAGTGAGAGGTTCCATCAGAACTACTTTCATTAATGGAAAAGCGTTATCAAAGGAAATGGAGCTCAGCAAGATAAGCAGATTATTCTTGGGGAATTAGAAGGGACCTAACAAAAACCTAATACTCACTACTCACTACGTTTTTATTGTCAACTAAGCAATACAAATTTTATAAGTGTAAATTTTTGTATGTTTTCCAAATATATGTTTTGGAATGTCACATAAAAAACCTGTGATTATACACATATTTTTCACCTTCTATAAATTCGACTTGGTTTTAATATTTGTTCACAAAAAATAGATAATTTTTGCGAAACAAAGGAACATTATTGCCAAATTAACTCATATGCTATACTATTTAGATATCTAGTATAAAAAATCTTATTGAAATAGCTGTAAGATTGAAGTTTATTGGCCATTGTGAGTGAATCGCAATATTATTCCATGATTGAGCCCTTAAGGCAAGTTTTTTATTCTGAAGTATGGTTAAAAATGACTATTTATCATTAACCTCAACCACAGCATCGACATTGGCACGCCCAACTCCATCCGTCTCCCAATAAGTGTATATCACATAAACGCCAACGGGCAGTGGAATAAAAGGCACAACCTTATCGTCGATGGCGTAACGATCCAATATGAGATCATGCTGAGAGAAGAAAAAATCATTATTTTCTAACTGACTCAAGGAAAAAATTACTTTCGAGCACTTACATTGTACGGACACGAGTGATTGGCATTACTGTGACTTTGAAGACCCAAGAAATTGTAGAAAACTTCGGCCAGTGGATTACGACGTTTGTTGCGCAAAAAAGCACAACCATCAATGTTATATTCGTAAATCGACCGGTTCCGGTAGTCGTTACGTTTCACCAATTTCAATTGAACCTTGAAGGAAAGTGATTGTTGTCAATTTCTACTTTACAAACTTTACAAATGCACATATGTATATGCGATGCAATTCGTTTTGAGAACATACCTTCACATTATCTATTGGCAGTTGCAGTAATTTAACATAAATTGTTAATTCATTTGTGTTCCTTCGCACGGCTCTTAAGCGACACGTCTTGAATTTGGCATACGACTCATTCATCGAGTGGCATTTGACATTGGTTATTTTAAATTTCTACATTTAAAAGAATATGAAGTTTGAAAATATGCTAACACTGATATCTTTCAAAACTTACACATTCCGTATTTCCAAGAAGTATAGCCACAAGTAAAATTAGCAAAGTTGTTTTTGTAAATGTTAACATGCCGCGCGCACATTCGATCGGGTGAAAAATTAAAACAAAACTGATACTGGGCATTTCAGTTGAATGAGTTCAAAGGCAGTTAAAATACAATTAATAGCCAATTGACCATTTAAAAATGTATTAACTGTAATATATGCAGATATTAATACAACTATTATGATATAAAAATATTCAAATTCGTACAAATGACTTTGGAACTTTCAGAAACGATTTGTAAGTTTTGTGTTCACAAAGAGATCTCTACATTGTAAACCGTTAAGAGACTAACTCAACTCAAGCTAGCTTCAAAGTTATTAAACGTTTAAATTACATACGCAGTGTCAAGTGAATTACTTGCATAGTAATAAAGTTAAGTGAATTTGTATGGGTGATTACAGGACACAAGTTTCATTGCTCCGGAATGATTTTTTATTCAAGCTTTCAGCCAGTATTCAAAGTATAACTTATTTAGAACACCGGACACCCGCTTAATGGGTCCATAACTGGTAAGAATTTAATTGCGAAAGCTTTTAATTAACAAGTTTTCAATATTAATTAAAAATAAAATCGGAAAGTTCATGCCTCCTGTGAGGATTGAACTAACGACCCCTGGTTTACAAGACCAGTGCTCTACCACTGAGCTAAAGAGGCTTTGTCACCTCCACTTTTTGTAATTACAATATGTATGTGCGTGTGTACATACGTACATACATATGTATACCTACAGTGGCTGTTGGTCAAACGCCTACCAACAACCACACACGTCAAAACAAACTACCGCACAAAAAGGAGATGACAAAAACTAACAAAGCGACCGGCCAGCTTAGTGAAGACGGCGTGGGTCGCTAGCTACGCACAACAACAAACTACGTGCAAAGAAAACAAAACCAAGCGAAACTCCCTAACGCGATAAACAAAAATTGCGGGACAACAATTTAACAGCAAATTCGAACTGCTCAAAACAATAAAACAAAATATGTTTTTGGGGTGCACCCGAGGTGTGGTCCAACCGAACTGGTTACGAACCCACTCGCACTACTCCCGTGCTGCCGGGGGTAACTTTAACCCGCCTGTATGACTGGGCTCCGGGTGCGGGATGCTAGAAGGATGGGTAAGGACGTAACGAGGGTGGTGACACTGTCGGCACGACAAAACGTACGCAAACAATAAATACACGAAATGATACTTATCAGTTTCTCGGTCGGGTGTGGGTACCCAACTTCGGTGCTCCTCCGGATGATGTCGACGCCAAACTCTGGTTCCGCCACTGGAATATAAAAGAAAACCTATTTTGCACTGGGCTTCGTCTGCCCTTAAACAAGCCCCGACTGGCTTAAAACTTTCACTACTTTTTACAAGGCTTCAACTGCCCTTACACTACCACTTGCCTCGCCTGGCAAAACGCTATTATATTTATAAAAAAAAATATCACAAATTTTTTGTTTGTTTTTTTTTCTTTTTTTTTTTAAATCGCACGCCTGCGTAAAAAGAAGTTCGCACTCTTCTGTAGATTGCAAGAATCTGATCCGGCACGCACTTACGAGCCAGGCCGCAAGCTACGCGTCGGCCTTCAAAATTCTCCTGCGAGTGTGTATTGGTGCCCAATCATTTGGCGCCGCCCCCATTACCCAAAGGGACCGGGTTGTATAGCGCACGCCACCATGGCACACCAAGTACACTGGGATAACTTTTCCCCTCGCTGCAGTAAAGAAAAAGGCGACACCCCTTTTTACGGAATTCCCGCGCAAAGCATACCGTTGCCCTAATATTTGTTAGTGGAGGAACCGTTTTGGGGAACACCTCCTTTTGGAGACTTATACCACTGGGTAGGCACACACCGAATGCAACCGTGCCATCAATCCATGGCTTCAAATAATGCAACTATTTGCCGACAGATATCACTGCCAACGCTTGGAGTGAAAGGGAGCTTAGGCAAAACAAAGGAAATTAACAGACACACATAAAAGAAGTTTTTGTTGCGGCCAGTACGCGACAGCTTCTAAAGAGTATCTTAAGTAATTCCAAAACAAATAAAAGTTCATAAAAACGCTTTTCATTTGAATCAGTTTAATTAACCTCCGACCCCAAATTAAGTGCAATGATGAAAATCTCAATAAATATCCTTTACTTGCTCCTGCATAAGGTTTAGTCGATTTAACTTATTCAAATGTAAATTTCGAGAAAAAATAATCTACGATTGAAAATGCCTCCTGTGAGGTTTGAACTCACGACCCCTGGTTTACGAGACCAGTGCTCTACCACTGAGCTAAAGAGGCTCTTAAATATTGATTAACACTTTTTCAACTAAACTTATGAATTCATTAAAAAAAAATATTTTATCTTTTATTTAACTTTTAACTTAATTATTGTTGATTTTCATAAAATGGTTTTTAACATTGTTCCGAGTGAAAATAAAAAAACAGTAGTCATGCAAATTAATTCTAACGTAGAAAAGGTCCTATTGAACCGGTCAAGCGGCTTTAACTATCTCTTAAAGCCTCCCTCTCAAGAAGGGCTTGTTAAATATCATTTAAAAGAAATATATATATTTTTACCCTAAAAATTAAAAGGTCTTGGATTGGAAACATTGTCAGACCAACATCCAGAAGTACAGATACGTTTATCTTATTGCAATCACCCCATAAGCAGTTCTCTCTGAATGCAGCTTGGGAGGTGACGGGCGAACTTGCAAGGAAATGCACTTCTCTCCCACCTTCGCTACCATATAAGAATTTGAGCAAAGCCGCTCTCAATTTGTAAGCTCACTATAAGAGAGTTATTCGCTACATACTCGTATGCTATCTGAAGATGAGATCAAAAAGTATCAATGTTGCAACAAGAGATCAAAAGAATGAGGGCTTATTGCGCTAAAAAGAAAAGAGTGAAGGTGGGAGGATAATCACACAGAAGTTGTAGATAGGATGAAGAAGGGAAACAGCAGACTCCACTCAGAAGTCTTAACCTAACCTAACATTTTTGCGTGACAGACGTAAGGACCACAATTTATTTTTGTTTATAAAATTTTATCTAACCATTTACACTTGAAAAGATGGCAAATTAATTGGGACTCAATTTTATAAAATTAAAAAAAGCAAATTTTCCATTCGAAGTAAAGTAAAAGAAGAAAAGCAAATAAATATAATTTTGCTTTTTCCCCAATGGCATCAAGATGATGGTTCATGCAAAAATCATCAATGAATTTTTATGTATAAATTTAATAAAACCGTGTTTAGAAACAAACAAAAACTAATAGATCCTATCTTTATTCAAATTCGAATTTCGAACCAAGTTTTTAATTTTTTTTATAAAATATACTGCATTACACTGGACTATCGTCTTTTTATGGCTTCTTCCTCAAGATCAATATAGCCAGGCATGTGAGTTAACGTTTAATTGAGGTTGTGAGAAGAAAATCCGTTATATGTACATACATATTTTCGAAATTAATCTATTAGCTAGATCTAGTGTGCTGAATTATTTAAATGAACGCTCAAAAGTATGCAAATTGAAATTGACTTTTTAATTATAAAATAAATTTCATTTATAGCTTTTGCCTCCTGTGAGGATTGAACTCACGACCCCTGGTTTACAAGACCAGTGCTCTGCCACTGAGCTAAAGAGGCGCTCCATAGAATGATCCAACATGTGTATGACAAAAATTTCAGAAAGTTATGAAGAGTTTAATTGAAGTTAGAAAAATTACGATTTTTAATAAATTTAAAAGCATTTTTGAGTCAGAAACGAAAGCGCATTTTTAGCTATGAATACTTGTTTATATGTATACTGAAGTCTAAGGCTCTCTTATCAGCTGGTGATACGAAGAAAAGCTTTTCACTCTTACACCAACTAAAAAAAACTTCAATACATATTCATGAAAACAGCAACAGCGTATTTAATCAATTAGAGCTCATTTATTATAAAATCACATACATCGGGCTCGTAACAAATTTCCCCCTCCTTTCACAAACACAAGAGCAAAATTCATTCCATCTACTCATTAGCAAATTGAATTACCACCTTCAATCTGTTGCATTCAAATCATTCATAACGCAATGCTCCTGACTCTCCTGCGGCACCTCACCGCCGCCACTACCGCTATTCATGTCGTGCATGGTGAATGGCCGCGGTACACCCTCCTGTGACTCTCGCTTCGGTGTGCTCCACGAAAACTTGGAAAAGCTCACATTGATTTTACCACCGCTTCGCATGCTCGCCCAGGGCCGCACCACTGGCGTGCCGATACGTTGGCCCGTTACATTGGTGTTGTTTATTGCCATCGGCGGTGGTGGCACTGGTGTTGAGATATGAGATGTTGTCGGTGATTTAGCATGTGTCTCCTTGCGAACACCTACCATCAGCGCTTCACGACGCGCATTCTCCTGAAATTGTTTGACCCGCTCTCTCATTGCCGTCTCACGTTTCACCTCTTTGTCGATTTCGGTGCGACGCTTTTGCTCAAACCGCTCTACAACTTGCTTATCACGCTCTTTATTACGCTCCACAATTAAGTCGGCAATCTCTAAACGCTTTTGCTTCAATTCCTCTTTGGAAAGCTTCTGAAATACTTCTGGCCAGATGCATTTCTGCTTCTTGACGAGCACAATACGCGCTTCATTCTTGAAAATGCGGCAAAAACTGGATAATTCATCGATTTCGTGAACCAAGTGGCGTTCGAAAAATATTGGCGGATTATTGAATTTGATATATTGCGGCAGGAGCACCACATCCGGCTTGCGTACAATGAGGCGGTTCAATTCGATTATGATTTTAATGTCATCTTCTGTTTGTGTTACTTGCACCATGGCGGTTGGATTTAAGACTGTTCACTATAAGTAAGTTGCTACCGCGGTTGTCTAGGCAAATGTTGACCTCTGCCTGATTTAGGTGAAGCGAATAGAAGTTGTGTTTTGTATGTTTTTCAGTGATTGCTGTCGCCTGTGATTCGATTTGTTTTTGACTTCCGTGTTTATTTTATACATCAAAGAATTGTATCAATATTTATTTATTTTGCTTTCAATACCTGTCTACTGCCGTCGATAGATTTATCGACCAAACAATACAGTTGATAGCTTTTCGTCCTGTTTTGGTTTTAGCCGCTCGAAGCAAGCAGCGAAATGGCGACCACCGCATTGCATAGAACTTAATGCAGACGACCGTATATGCGAGAGGGTGGTTCAACAATATCCACGTGTTCTTGTCACTATGCTATGGAAATTGAAATTTTCTTTTAAATATTCCAACAGCTAAAGTAAATGCACAAAGTTTGTTCTATTAAAAACCAAATGCAGATGGGAAACAGCTCTTGTATATTCAATTGAGCTCTCGAATGTCTAAAACAGAAGCTCCCATGTTCTCGTGGCTGTCAATATTTTCGCAGATATTGCTAATTTTCGGCCCTGGTCTCGCACCATAAACTATGAATTGAAACACTTCCTTCGAATATTTTTTGATGCACCCCGCGAAGTAAAAAGTAAACAAACAATTTAATTTGATGTGAGGATATCAATGGTAATTGTGATATTGTGCTAAAAGTGACATTTGCATAACTATGCTAATAATAAGCCAAACTGTCTCTCAAATAAATACATATGTACAATTTTTTTTTTTTTTTTTGGAAACCATCTTTCAATGGTGCTGTGTAGGAAAGGAAGGTTAAAAATCAACTTACTGTGGAATTTACTTTCTGAAATGTGAATGCAGTATATTCGTTTTAAGAAAAATATGGAGCTTTTTAATGATTTCATTTTCATTATTCTGCCAGGTAATCAAGAGAAGACATTGAGGCACCGAGCTTGAAATTAAGACTTTTAAATAATAATGATGTTTCTACTGGGTAGCATGTGAAGTAAAAAGAATAAATGTATAAATTACTAAGCTAATAAATTTTTTTTTGGAAATGATTGGCAACCGAAATAAAATGCAATTACTTAAATAAAAGAGTTAAGGAAGCCATTGGTTATGCAGCACGTGCGACTTGTTTGGAACAAAAAAATTTACTACACTCATTTATGCATACAAATGTGTGTGTGACTACAATGTTTAGCAGAAATTATTACAACAAAGTTTATTTTATCATGTCGACATATAAAAAATCGCATGGAGAATTCAATTGCCTGAAGATGCCCAAATAAATCAATCAAAAAAGGGTATAGCCTAACAAAAGCAAAGTCATTTAAAACCCCTTTAAATTTCTTTAATTATAAAAAATGTGTTTATTTTTTTGGTTTTGAAAAACTTAATTTTTATTTCATTTCTGAATTTACAATATATAATTAGGAAAGAATATCTTATTATTATTATTATTTTTGCACTAAAATTAGGAATTAATTTACCATAGTTAGAATTGTCTGATCCAGGTCAAATATGCGCCGTTTTACTCGATAACTTTTTGCCATTTTCCCTTTCCGTAAGGGCGAGAAATTGGAGTAATCAAATTGTACAGATTTCTTTTGAGCACCATCCGCCATATATAGGAATAGATGGTAATCTCTTGGTGCGAGGTCCGAACTATTGGGTGGATGTATAAGAACTTCCAAATAAAGCTCTCTAAGCTTCTGGTGAGTCTCTTTATCGATGTGAGTGGTTGTCTGGATGAAACAGAATTCCTTTCCGGTTGGCCAAAGTTAAGCGCTTCTGCGCTCTCCTGGGTGATTGCTTTCTTCAGATGCTCTAATTGCTGACTGTATAGTACCGTCAATCCTAGCTTGGATGCCATTTGTGTCGTCTCACTGCCTTTCGACCTCGACCGTTCTCGATTGACGCTGCTGTAAATAATCTATTTTTTATCACCAGTCACCATTCGTTTCAGAAATAATTTGTAGAAGGAAGTTCGGTCCATGAAATATTTTCTCGTTAACTCCTGTGGCACCCATACATCGGGCGTCTTTGTGTATTCAGCCTTTTTCAATTGTTCCGAACTGCTTTTTGCGCAGTGCTTAGCGCCTGGGTAATCGAAACAGTGATCGCATGACGCTCAGACTCAACGACCTCCATTAGCGACGTTTTCGAAACCGCCGATACCGAAATTGTGCACTGGAACAGCACAGTATCAAACCCATAAAAACTTTAACATGCGTTCTAAGTCCAATGAGTTGAGTTATCATCGCCCTTTACCTTCTCTTTAGGAAACTTTAATTGTTAAGTTCGGATGATTCTCTTTGGAGATATTCGCGCAATAGGGTATCTTCAGTCTTTTTCTGAATACTTCTCAGTTCAAAGAAGCATTTTTACAAATTGCGTATTTATTATTTGCTTTACAGGTCCTCATATGTACATGGTGAATAAGTCCAAAGAGGATTAATCAAAATCATCAACCAAAACTTAGTTATTAATTGAATTATTATGCACCAGTTACACGAACCGGTTCTTTGATTAATCGCATAACTCAAAATTTACAAATGTTCCTTGTTTGAGCATTACAACAAAATTTATTACAAGAACAAGAGCGCAACCCTTAAACCAGTGAAATAAATCAAAAATAATACCCAACTCGGGTAAGACACGTGTCCTGCTTCAAACGCCTAGAACATACATACTCGTATGTTCAAATGTCACCAGGAAAAGGTGCATAAATGAAAAATGTTCAGAAGTCAGTGAGTGAGCTTATAAACAAAGCAACTGAAACATTTGTCATAAATGTAAAACCACTTTCACGTGCAGATATATCACTTTCACATATACATACACACATACATGTGTATACATAAAACTGTCTGTCTGAGGAGTAATGTAGTGGATTCACTGACACTTTGCGCTTGTAAAACGTCACGCATGCGCTCATCCACTTTTCCATCAAACAATCAACTCATCATCACCCTCTGGTTAGGTACTAGCGGGCGAACAGCCGACTGCTGTGATGGTCATGGTCGTGGTGATGATCATGTCAGCCGTCAATCAAAGTCGTGTTGAACAGCGCCGTCGTCCCGGTACAGTTCAGCGGTAATAGGGAGTCGTTCGCATACGCATGCGTGCCGTAATAACAACTACAATAAAATCACATTGTAACGGCGACATACGGGTACATACAGGAACGAAATATCAATGAAAAGCAGGCGAATGAGTTGAGCATGTTGAAGTCGCAAGCCGGCCAATGACTGTCGGCGACAAAAGAACAGAAACTACTACAGACAACTACAGACGGGACAGTGACAAAATTAATGGCACAGCTGTGTGGGCACCCAGGAGCATAGCTATTTGTCCATCGGCTTGGTTGTTTAACCAATTGGAATCGTCCCGTGGCTATCGAGACTATTGTGATTTTATTAGAAAAGAAACACATTTGTACATATGTTGATGTCAAAATTATATGACATTTAGTTTTAGGCTCAAAATGGTTTCGAACAATATTTAACCTATGCGAGTAGAGTTTAGGCGTTTCTAACGGGAGCTAGTATCACAGCTAAGAGACTTATGAATAAAAGGAATAATTTCATAAAAGAAATAATCATTTTAATTTAGTCTCTTTTTCTGTGAGACACACCTTGTAGACGTAGCCATAAATAGCAAACAATTCGTCACCAAACAATGCTCGGTTTAAGCATTTCTACTTTTATTTTAACGAAATTTTTTTTTGCGTTGAGCGAGTAGCCACTTAGAATCGTCAATTTGGTGGTTGATGTGGGTATTGATGGTTCATCGCCTCGAAAACCTCAAAATTTATGAATAAATAATTATTAGACTAATAATTATCAGCTGCAGCTCGGAGTTTTGCAAAAAAAAATAATAATTTCATCTACAATCAAATGGCAAGGGTCCACTCCGCCGGTAGCGCTGTCCACTGTCATTATCATCATCTCTAGATCATATTGTGCAACCTTTCCACCTATTGGCTGCTCACTACACTCACACGCACCTACGAAATTGGCTGTGACAACTCTGCACTGCAGTTTACTCGATGCAGCATCGTTATTGTGCGCATTGTTGTTGTAGCATTGCTTATGCATGTCACATGCTGCGTTGCATTTGCCGAGGCGTTTACTGTTTAGAGCAGCATTCCATCCCCTGCAATTTCTGCCTCCCCTAGCACTGATTGTATGCGCATTGTCTATTCCATTGTTGCCGAGACAGTTTTACATCAAGAAACATTTTCCTAAATAATCCTGACAAAATCGAGATTGAATTATTGTTACATTTTTTTGACAGTTACATGGATGGCTCTTGATGAGATGACGTTTTTTATTGGCTTCAATGTCATAAAAAAAGATAAAAGAGGGCTCGACGGACATATGTTTCTACATTTGTGTGGAATTTGTGTAGACAAAAATTAAATGCCTTTTAATCAGCAGTGGACACCCTAATTATTTCTGTTGATTTTTTGGCTTTGTGCAAAAAACAATGCATGGATATATAATTTTCAAAAAGAAAGAAATAATTTCTAGCTCTGAATGCAGATTAGAGATGAAATCTTACAAAAATGTAATAAAACTGATTTATTTTCTATTTTGTTAGTGAGTATAAAAGTGAATATGTCGGGGCTAATTCTTCCTCTTCTTAAATTTCACAAACGCCACTTACACAAATATTAGAGTATGACAGGCGTTTCTTCTTTTCGTCTTTTTTCCTCTTCGTGCGGTTGTTCTATTGCTCTTCTACTTCAAATCTGGAGACCTTTCATCTATCCGGATAACATAAGTTATAAAATCTCTTCCTTCGGTATATGTATTCGACCGAAATTGACCTGTAAGGCTTAGATTTTGTTTCGTTCAAGCGGACTTGACTTTTAAAGTGTTTAATCTGTCTAAAGTAGCAACTTTTGACAAACATAATTCTGCGTTGGTTTGCTGCTGACTCCTAGAAGGAGGAATTTATCTACCGATTCGAAGTTATGAACGTCACCAATTGCTTGGCAGGCAAGACGCAAGTGCGCTGGCTGTTTGTTGAAGGCAAGACTAACTAAAAGACTTATTTGCATCATTACCTTATGTAGTCTTGTGATGCTGCAATTTTTGAGAACGATTATATACGCCAGAAGTTATATAG